TGGGGCTTTGGTGTCAGTCTGTCTCTGAGTCTGAGTTCTCAACCTCCAGCCCCTTGCCCGAACCTCGTGAAGGGGGGTCTAGTGCATAGAGCACAGACGGGGGCTGCGGTGCGCAGCGGCCACTATGGAAATCGGTGTGGAGAATTCTCAAACAGCTAAAAATAAACCTACTGTATGCCCAGCTATACCGCTCCTTGGCATATGCCCAAAGGATTCAACATCCTATTCTATGCACACTTGCTCAGCCATGTTCACCAATGTTCACCCATGCTCTATTTACAATAGCCAGGAAATGGAAACAACCAAAATGTCCTACAACTGATGGATGGGTGATGGAAAGGTGGTACATGTATATAGTAGGGAATTCTTCTTATTATTCTGATGTAAAGAAAAATGAAATCATGAACTTTTCAAGTAAATGGATTGAACCCAAAAAAATCCTACTATGTGGAGTGAGCCAGACCCAGAAAGACAAATGCTACATGCTCTCTCTCATTGAAGGCTCCTGGCTTCAGATCTTCAGACATGAGTTCATAGTCTGTAGTAACTACAAAAGCAAGGACAGAAAAAGAGGATCATTGATAGATGTGTAGGGTGTTTGGTGGGGGGGCAATAGAAAGGGGTATAGCTGGGTGCCAGTGATCTGCCCAGGGAAATGGCAGAGGGGAGGACCTTTAGGGAGGGAAGAGAGGTAAATACAAAAGAAGGAGGGAGGATGGTAAAACAGCAATAATGATGTCTGAAAATTCACAAGGAATTATACTGCTATTTACCTAAAACCCTAAAATACACACAATTACATACACAACCACACACACACACATACACAGTTTTAACTAACTTTTCTCATCTGGGCTTATGGTACTCTCTTCAAGAATTAAAGATCACATAACAAACATCTAATACTTGGCTTGGGAAGCCTCTTTTATTTTTGAGTTGTTGGCTAGGGTTGTCCCCAAATACAGAATCTATTGCTATTGCCCTTTGTTACCCCCCACTCCAGAAATAGGAGGTAAGTCCCTATAGCTGAAGACACCACGAATCTCAAAAATGGACCCCAGAGATCCCTTAGCTGGAAGTGGACTGAATGTCCCCCCACCCTGGGGGCTAACTTTCACAGTACCAGAAGACACTGTGCAACCTTCCAAAGGAGGGCGGCACCAATAGTCCTACCCAGCGATGATACCTATGAACCACATCAGTGACGAGCCTGTCATGATAGCCCTAAGGGTGCAGCAATGGCACACATACCTTGGCAACAGCCAACAACTGTGTAATTGGACTTAGGACCCTGCCAACACAAGGGATACCATGCCTGGCACTGGAAACCTAGCCGGCTACTCAGTGCCAGAGAAGTCATGGTTATTGGAGGAGAATCTAGAACGGTATTAGCCCAGCATCATCCTTAACAACAATCTACAAACATTTGCCCTTCTACTCACAGAGAAGTGTGGTCTTCACTACTCATCAAGGGCACTACTGTAGGCAACAGACAGAGAGACCACTACAGAAAACCACAACCAACCAAAGTGCAGAGTTGTGGCGCCCAGTCTACTAAACTCTCACACCTAAGGTTCATTGAGGAAGGGTGGGCAGAAAGATTGTATGAGTCAGAGGATCAGAGAGTTTGCTGTGAGATTTTTGTCTCCTAATAATGTTAGAAGTTACACCAATAAAGTCTCATCAACATGAATGACCATAAGTGAGATGACACCAATGGACATGCCAAAATAGACAAGGGAAAGCTCACAGAGCCTCAACCCTACACGAAGAACTATAGGCAACTGATAAAAACTGGGAGAAGGAGAGATGGCTTTTCCCAGGGAAGAGCACACAAACTAGTTATCCAGGGCCAAATGGCAGCCCTGGAAACATACAGAGGAGTCACATTATCCAGATTGAAAAGGTTATATTTAGGAACACCACTCACACATACACATAGACAACACACATACACACACCCATGTACACATGCAATAACAGTTTCTTTTAAAAAGCCATGAATTTGATGGAGAGAAGGGAGAGGATTTGGAGGGAGGAAATAGCAAGGGAAAACGTAATTATAATCTCAAAAGTGCATCTAAAATGTAAAAAGAAATAGAATGATGCGGAGCAAACTAACTGGGTATGATGGTGGGGTGTGTGTCTAGATGGTTCTTAGAGAAGGCTTGTATGAGCAGGTGACTGTTAGCTGGGGTTTAGCAGATGAGATATAGTACAGACGCATTAGCTGGGTTAGAGCAGCTGGAATCAATTTGATAAGGGTCTATCACTCTAGTGAAGTTATATCAGTGGTTAGGACCCTGTTAGGGACAGCCTTGAAAGCAGCATCAATGAAATCAGGTTATTTGCTTGTGAGCAGAGAGACTTCCAATGGAAAGTGTGGGGATAATGGGTTTTGTATATCATCAGTCATGGTGGCTTGGGTCTGTGAGTCTGCAGCTGAGGAGGAGAGGGAGCAGGAAGGAATCAGGATACTTGGTCTTTCCCCATCGGACACTTGGAGGCTGGACTGGCTCATCTCTCAGGACTTTCCAGCTCTGGGATGTGGGGCATCTTACTCTATCACAAGTGTTGGGACACCTAAATGAGGAAGTGCCAGGGAAGACCTGTTTCACAGAGCAACGACTTCATCCCTATCTCGTGGGCCGCTTACCCCTGGGATTGTGTTGACCCTTTCACCACCTTTATCTGCCCACAAGGATGTTGGCCAAGCCCAGCCAGCAGGCAGTTAGTCATATTCAGACTTTATCTTTTTTTATGAGGCGAGGGAGTCCAACTGAGCAGAACCTGAGTCTATAAAAGGCTACTTATGTCTTTTATTATCTGAAAGGACTCTTCCTCTGTCTATTGCCTGTTCTTCTGTCCCCGTGTTCTAATCTAGCAGGCCCTCGGGCTCATTTCTTGGGACCCTTGCCTATGCCCCTCCCTCCACCCAGTGAACCAACTGACAGGGAGATGGTCCCGAAGTTGTTGGTCAGCCATGCCACAGGATATATTGCTACACGTTTGGCAATGTCGGGCCACACAGTTCAGTAGATCAGAGATATGCATATGGCATGATTGGGGTTTCTGTTTAGGGGCTCTTAGAGCTGAAATCAAAATGTTGCTTGACCGCATTTCTGAGCTAATGAGGTTGTGGAAGAATTCTGTTTCTTATGGGTATGGCACTGAGGTTCCTGATTCCTCACTGGCTGCAAGAAGGGCTTCTGTTAGGTCCTCAAGACTGCCCACATTCCTTGTCATGGTGCACTCCACTCTAGAAGCCAACAACAGGTCCCTTGGGTTGAATATCCTAATAAGAGATCTGTGACTTCAGGAAGAGCCCAGTTGCTTTTAAGGATTCATTTGCTTAGACAAATTCACCCCATATAGCCCTTCTCTGTCTTTCTGTTCCCCTACCTCCCTCCCTTCCTCTTTCCTCCTGTTTTCCTCTCTCCTCCCATCTGTTTTTTCTTTTCTCTCCCATGCCCCTTTCCTCTTCTTCCCTCCTCCTCTCCTTCCTTCCTTCCCATCCTTCCTTCCATGCTGGGGACTGAACCCAGGGCCTCATGAATGCTGGGCACCACTGAGCCACAATTCCATCACTATCCCCATCTTAAAATTAATTCTACCGTAGAATATATAACACAACCACAGGAAGAAAGTCCACATCAATAGTCCCAAGGGCTTTGTAGAGTATACACACTGGGAGGTGGGAAGGGTGAAGACTTTAGAGAGCATTGTAGGATTCTTTCCATCACAGGAGCCTGGAAAGTCATTTCTTGTTCTTAAGGAACAAACCGTTTAGTAAAGTTGGCTGTTTTTTTAGACTTTCGATAGGTCATAAAAGAACCTATCAAACATCACACACGACCTATCTATGACTGTAGACTTCATGACTCCTGGGGTATTATTCAGTGTCCAGGTTAAGAAGATATGTCCAGGTGCTGGGAATGCAGGGGGCATGCTGGTGATGCTGATGAACAAACAATGTGAGTGATATATGTGTGAACGTGTGGATGTGTACAAGTGTGCATGTGTGAATATGTGGACCAAAGGATATTTTTAAGGATTATGGATGGGAAGATGACTCAGAGGGTAGGATGCTTGTAGTATAACTAGGGGACCTACCTCTGGATTGAGTTTTGTTTTTTTGAGCATGCACACATGTGCACTCATATAAACATATGTGCATGCATATGTGGCACACAAAGATTAAATAAACCAATATTTCCACACACAGTATTGAAATATGCAAAGTTTATAATTATGAAGGCGGTAGATTGTCCAACCAAGGGGTCCAATTATGAGAGCAAGTAGAGGGCTGTATGAGAATAATTTCTGTTCATTGAGTTCCTCAGCTCAGGGACTTTCAGGCCCATCTTCATCACCATAGTCTGGACACATTAAATGCTCTAGAAAAACTAATTAATCAGAATTTCCCAGAGAAGGTCTTATGTGTTTTAAAAACAACTTTAATACAGATTTTTGCACAGATAGACTGTAATTCACAGGGCCATGTAGAGTAATACAAAAAGGAATAACTGCCTCCCTTCTCACTCATGGAGGCCACCAAGGTCCAGACTGGTTGAATTCTTTACACATCTAACTATGGTCTCGATGAAGACTCACAGGAAGGAGCTGCCCAGGTTTCTTCTTGGAAAGCTGTGTTCGCACACTGAGTATTTTCTTCTTGCTGGTGTGGAGGCAGCACAGGCCTATGGTCTCAGTACTGGAGAAGCTGAGAGAGGAGGATTGTCACAGAATTGAGGCCAGCCTGACCTACATAGTGAGTATCAGGGCAGCCAGGCCAGCAGGACCCTGTGTCAAAAACAAAAAGCAAAAACCAGAGAAGCAAACAGAGGCAACGAACAGAGAAACACGAGCAAAGCCCTCAGATGTTTTCCTGTCTGCCTTGCTTTCTTCCCTTTCTGGTGTGGTACACACACAGCTCCTCGGGCTCAGAGGCACAGGGGTAGCTACAGGAGAGTCTCTATAACAGATGTGATACATTTTAGTCGCCATCCCAGGGGTGGGTAGCCCAGTTGTTCAGATGGTACAATCAACCAATAAGCAGCTTTGTGAAAGTGCCTACATTACAAGTACTTTCCTGTGTAACACAACGGTCTACAGAGAGGGATGCTGGTCAAAAGTGAGCCTTTAACTCTAACAGACAATGAATAGGCTCCCCCAATGCCTCAGGTAAAGTGGGGAAGCCTTGAATTGGGGGGAGAGTCAGAAGTCTTAGCTCAGGCCAAGAACTCAAGGCTTCCCTCCCCCACGTGTGAGGGAGTAGACTCCTCAAAGAAGTGAAGAAAGGGCTCTTATCAGCCCACCCTCTCCCTCTGATTGAGGCAAACCCTCCTTTGGCCAGGGGACTTCCTCCAAGGCGCCTATAAATGTGGCTGTGAGATGGGCTGAAGAGGGACCCAGCTTTGGAAACCTGACACGACCCAGGAAGACCTGTAAGTGTTCTCTCTACTGGGGATGTCCAGCTTCTGGGGAGGACCCTGATGTACACAGAGGGCTGTGGAAGGCTGGCAGGCTTTCATGGGGCTTTCAGCTTCTGCCGGTGCTAGTGCAGTGAGCATCGCTTCTGAGCAACAGGCAAACTCTCCTGTCAGGATGAGGATGGGGGAAAGCACAACTGGCTTTGGGGAAGGAACCCACGATTTAAGCGCTGTGCATTCCTAGCAAGCTCAACAGTTGTTGCTTCTCCGTTCACTCATTTTGCAGACGCTGCCAAGCTCATTAATGTAAACAAAGGAATCATCAATCAATCAATCACTGATCTTGCTTGCAGGCTTACAGGAAAGCAAGGCTGAGCTGCTCCTTATGATCTGCTTCATTTTGTCCAGAAAGGACTTGGGGCTGGGGCTGGGGCTCAGGTCGTTGAGTGATTGCTCACCAATGCAGCAAACATTGGGATCAACCCCCAACCAAACATAAACCAGGTGTGATCGTGCAAGCCTGTAATCTCAGCACTTGGGCAGCAGAGGCATGATAGCCAGGAACGCTATGCCCTCCTTAGCCACATACTGAGTTCCAGGCTGCCTGGGCTACATGAAACCTTGTCTTAAGCAAAGCAAAACAAATGAGTTCCTCAGAACAGCATGGACTGGACTCAGCCTTAGCTCTTCCGGGTCATTCTGAGTTCCAGCGTTCTTTTTTCCACACTCCTCTCTCATGGGTCCAAAATGGTCTGGCAGTGCAGTGTGTGTGTGTGTGTGCGTGTGTGTGTGTGTGAAACATCTGTGTTCTCTATTTCAGGACAAAGCCAAGATGAAATTCGCTCTACTTCTGGCTCTTCTAGTCGGGGGCGCGTCTGCTCTTCATCTGAGTGAATCATCAGGTCCTTCAGGTTTGCTCTTCCTCTTTTGTTCCTGGTGTAAAGATGATGGGAATCACATGATCACTGATCATCCCCCAATTTCAGAACCTTTGTACGCTAGGGGTGCAGGGACTCTGCAGGACTCCCGAGAGCATCTGTTATGTTTGTAGCCTTGATTCTGTTGTGGTATTTCCAATTTTGTTCTTTTTACATAATTCTAATGATGTCTGCAGTAACAATGGCTTCTTTTTATTTTGAAATTGTATACCAATTTCACACACAAAGAAATAAAGTGAGTTGTTGCTGTATCCGGGACTCATACCCAAAAAGAATGGACTCTAAGCTACTGTGGTTAGCCTTCTTGACCTCGTGGTGTGAAATGGGTTGTGTCCTCATGGAGATGTGGCTGTGGGTTCCTTTCTTTACAGGCAGGGTTTTGCACACTGGTGTTTGGAGTGGAGTAAGAGATACCCATAGTTCTAGGGAGAATAGGGGAAGGTGTCAAGGAAGGACACTTGAATTTTCTACTTGCCAGAGCCTGAAACTTCTGACTTCAAAAGCCCTTTGGGAGATGACAACTTGCCTAGGGATGTGGAGCTCTCAAGACCGGAAGCAGAAGAGTGTCCTCCTGGAGAGGAGCTAATATCACTGGAGGAAGAGGAAGGTTCTGGAAGTGACGACACCTCTGGGGTTGAGGGAGCTGTCTCAGGCCAGGATATGGCTGATGAGGATTTTCAGTGCCCCAAGGAAGAGGACACAATCAGTCTGAAGGGCAACCCTGGATGTAAGACCTGTCGGTTCCTCCTGGTGAGGCAGTTTCGAAAGTTTGACAGTGCTCAGGTAAGTGGCTTATGACTGAGGCTGAGAGCAGGGACAGACAGGAGACATGCCTCCATTTCCCACAGCAGTCCACACCAGCAGAGTGTGGGGTGGGGGTGGGAGGGCGTGTGGAAGCATGTGGGGGGAGGGGCGTGTGGAAGCATGTGGTGTACTTTGCTTGCTTGTTTTCTTTTTTTTTTTTTTTTTTTTTTNGCTCACCAACAGGGAAGGCTGGTTGGTCCAGAGACTCTTCTGTCTCCACAGCACAGGGCTTTTCATGCACCTGGCCATGCCTGGCTTTTCTATGCTGGGCTCCACACTCACGTCCTCATTCTTGCACAGCATACACTCTGCTGACTGAGCCATCTCCCCAGTAGCTACATTTCCAATTGCATCAATTTTTTGATGGACTCTTAGTATACTACCCAAGCTAAACATAAACTCCTCAGTCTCTAGAGCAGCTAGAACTAAAGCCTTTGCCAGTGAATCCTGTTGCAGGGAGCTACTTGTTGCTTCCTGGCTGCTCAGCAGCTCAGCCCCGAAATAATCACCGGGAACTATATTATTTAAATCAATGCTTGCCCCATTAGCTCTAGCTTCTTTTTTTTTAATATTTATTTATTATGTATACAATATTCTATCTGTGTGTATGTCTGCTGACTAGAAGAGAGCACCAGACCTTATTACAGATGGTTGTGGGCCACCATGTGGTTGCTGGGAATTGAACTCAGAACCTTTGGAAGAGCAGGCAATGCTCTTAACCTCTGAGCCATCTCTCCAGCCCCCTGCTTGCTTGTTTTCTAATGGTTATGGAGGGAGGGGAAAGAGAATAGGAGGGAGGAAGGGAATGGATTTTGGAGACTCAGAGACCATGGCTCTGACCATGGGAACTGCTGTCAAAGGGGTGAAGGACCTTCCTTTCTTCCTCTTTTGTTTTGTTCTGCAGACAGTTTGTCGGAGATGCTACCGGGGCAACCTTGCCTCCATCCACAGCTTCAGCATCAACTTCCAAATCCAGGCCTCTCTCAGGGCACTCAACCAGGCTCAAGTCTGGATTGGAGGCAGGATCAGAGGCTTGGTAAGAGGGGTACCAGAATTAAATGGGAGCATCTCTTCACCCCATCCAGTATCAACCTTTCTACAGCTTTGTCTGTATTCCCCCTTTACTGTCCCCCAAAGAGCTGGGGATAGAAGGCCACTCACACAAGACACTGAGGTGCCACCAAGGCTTTAGAGTCAGGTTTGAGTCCAAGTTCCTCCCAGCCTCTCTATCTTTGTGATCAGGGTGCTGTTTCCTGACCTCTAGGTTGCACCTGCTTTCCCCGGCGCCATTTCTTGTTCATGATGTAAGGATGTATGATCATGTCATAGAGAGGCAGAGCGATCCCTATGGGCCAATACTTCAGCTAGTCAGTCTCCATTATGGCCCTGTGGTCAAGGACCTTAGGGATAGTGCTGACTCCCTCCCTCCCTCCCTCCCTCCCTCCCTCCCTCCCTCTCTCCTTCCCTCCCTCCCTCCTTCCCTCTATACCCTTGGCCTCTTCCCTTCTCTAGGGTCCCTGCAAACGCCTTCAATGGGTTGATGGAAGCTCTTGGAACTTTGCATATTGGGCTTCTGGCCAGCCCCGCTGTGGTATTGGCAGATGCGTGACCATGTGTACTCGAGGTGAGGTTGGTTGGCTATGGGAAGGGAAGGATTCAAGAAAGAGTGCCAGGAAGTGAGCCTGGTCACTCAGGGAGAGGCTTTCTAGGTGAGGTGTAGGGCTGGTGGGAACTCCGAGCTTCCTGGTGTCATGTGAGGGTAGACACAGGACTGAAGTTTTCCCCTTCTCCCTTCACAGGAGGCCACTGGCGTCGATCTTTGTGTATCAAGAGACGTCCCTTCATCTGTTCGTATTGAGCTGGTCCCAGCCAGGAGTTCAAATCCATGCTCTTCTGGGCAACTGCCTCTCTTTTCCTGCCAGGTGCCCCCTTCTTTCTCCTACCTACAATAAAACGGCTTTACTGAACCAGACTCCTGCTCTCTTGTGATTGTTGGTAGCTGGGTCTTATTTTGAGCTTTCTGTTTTATCATCTCATCCTGCCTGTCAAATAGGATGGTGCAGTGGGGGTGCATGAAGCATTCTGACAGTAGGGAAATGTGTGCAGGTGGCTCTAAAGAGCCCGTGGAAGACCCAGTGACACAGCATCTGTGTATCGGGTACTGCCAGGACCCCGCCAACAGCTTCCAGACATGTGACGGTTTTGAATGAACTCTCGCCCACACCGGCTCTTCTTTCCTATTGTATTAGTGGCTTTCCCTGTTGCTGTAACAAAATATCTGAGTCCAGGAGACAGTTTACTTGAGTTCATAGGTCAAGGGTACTGTCTACTATGGCAGGGAAGTCCTGGTAGCCAGGCTCCAGGAGGGTGGTTACATTGTATCCATAGTTAGGAAGTAGTGGGACAAATGCTCAGCTGCAGCTAGCTTCTTCTAAATGCAACCCAGGATCCAAACCCAGGCAATGGTGGGTCTTTACATCTCAATTGACCCAATCAAGATACTCCTTCCCAGACTTGTTCAGAGGCTGGTCTCCTAGGTAACCAGAGAGCCGGTTGACACTCAATAGTCACCATTAGGCCTATCAAGTGGAACAAACACATAGCATGTACTAGGCACCATTTCTGTTACCCATTAAGGTGGCTGGCATTACAGCAGGTATTTTGTTGGCTGCGTGCCTCTCCCCAGATGAATCCTCTCTTCCTCTAGCAAGGTTTCTGCACTTCCCCAAGTTAACTCTAGGATGTGGACTCAAATCCTTGTCTCAGGCTCCGTTTTTTGAGAAAACCCCGTATTAAACTCATTATTATGAGTCAAACTTTCAATAAGGTCTGGGAATCTAAGACACAGTGTGTGGTGTGTGTGTGTGTGAGAGAGAGAGAGAGAGAGAGGGAGAGAGACAGAGAGACAGAGAGAGACAGAGAGAGAGAGAGACAGAGAGAGAGAGAGAGAGAGAGAGAGAGAGAGAGAGAGAGAGAGAGAGAGAGAGAGAGAGAGAGAGAGAGCGCGAGCACATGAGCACGTGCTGGTTGTAACCAATGATTGGGCCCTCACCTGCTGTGGCAAATGCCTTGCATTGATCGCACTACGCCAGCAGTATCATTATCTCTGCCATGCAGAAACAGGTTCAGAGAAGTTATACATGGATGAAAGACTTGCTCAAGACAGAACAGCTGGCTGTTTCCAAGGCAGAGATTTGACTTTCTCAGCTCCAAAGCCTGCTGCTCCTGTATTGTTTCCATGCCTGTAAGTCTTGAGTGACCGCCTTCCCTCTTGACTTCACCTTGGGGCATAGAACTCAGCTCATCTGGAGGCAAAGAAGCCCGGTTAAAGACGGGGAAGGACAGCTTTGATATCACCAGGGAGCTAAGCAGGATACAAGGGTTCTAGGGCCTGAGCCCTTTTCTTTCAGGGATTTCCCAACTCTTGATGATGGGTCCAGGGTCCTGGGATAGCAAACGGAGATGTGTGAGCTTCTGAATGACTCAGAGAAGGAGAACCATTTGCTCAATGTTAGCTACTCTATAAGCTGAAAAGGAGACAGAGCCACATTTTGGTTCATGCAACCACTGTGTTGTCTGCTGTTAGTTTTATGTACAGTCAGCTTCAGAAAGTCTATGTGTTTGGCTCTGTGGTGGGTGCTGGGAGGATACAGCTGAGGTACCACAAGTCCTCAGGGATGACATCTTCTGCTGTCACTGTTCTTGTTTGACTCTTAATAATAAAGATTAGGAGGGGCTGGGACCATCAGTCTGTGGTAGAGCAGCTGCCTAGCACATGTGAAGCCCTGAGCAGGCTTCCAGCTCTGACACACATGAATGTATTAAAAACTGCAGGAATAAGACACGGTACTCCCCACCACCACCGCTAAGCATTGCTATACTCTGGGCTCCAGGCTGAGAGTCAGGTAGACTTTTTGGTCTTGCTTCTCAGAGACGGCTCTCTTAGCGGAGTTTGTGGCACCTGCTCCATCAAAGTCTTTTTAAAGGATGCCAAGGAAAAAGCAGGCGGAGGCTCCAAGGTGGTTTACTAGTTCTCTACATAGCTTTGGACGTGCTTGTACAGGTGCAATGACTATAGTTTTCCTGCCCAGCTCACTCACAAATACTCCAGGTGTCCTCATCAGTGAGTAAGGCTCAGGAGGCTGAGCTCCTAAACACTGCTCTGATCTGAAGATTTCATTCCTTCTCACACTGATGATGAGAATCATCCTTTTGGTAAAATGGGGTTGGGCTGAGTTTTAGTACAAGATGAGTATCTAGAAATCTACATGAAAAACGGATTTATTATTATTACATAAAACTTTTTAAAAGTGAAGTGAGTCTGGGGATGAGCATGGTTGGTTCGGTGCTTGCCTGGCATGTATGAAGCCCTGGGTTCTTCCCCTGGCACCACATAAAGCAGGGGTGGAAACAGATGAATCTAGAATGACTGAAAGACACTTAAGGAAATGTTCAACATCCCTAGCCATCAGAGAAATGCAAACCAAAGCAACTCCGAGATTCCATCTTACACCTGTAAGAATAGTTAATATCAAAAACACTGATGACAGTTTATGCTGGAGAGGATGTGGGGTAAAGGGAACACCCCTGCAGTGCTGGTGGGAGTGCAAACTGGTACAACCGTTTTGGAAATCAGTATGGCAATTTCTCAGAAAATTAGGAAACAACCTACCTCAAGATCCAGCAATACCACTTTTGGGTATACACCCAAAAGATGCTCAATCATACCAGAAGGACATGTGCTCAACTATGTTCATAGCAGCATTGGCTATTGGCAAGGTTATTGAAGTCAGTGGAATGCCTTTTTATCTCCAGGACTTGTATGCAAGGAAAACGGGATTGGAGAAGATAGAAATCCAAGAGGAAGGGCAAGATGGGGTGCGTAAGGGGCACAAAACCCTGAGTTTCGGCTGGCGCCTGACCAGCCATGGGATCTCGGGCAACTCCTTCAAGCACATGGAGATGTGTAAAGAGAAACAATGCCTGCAGAACTTATGGTGCTGCTGGCTCATGAGAAGAGCAACCCCGGGACTCATCCCAGCCATCCGGTGAATTGCCACCTCTGTCACAGGCCCCACGGTGAAGAAGAGCAATAGGGAAGGGTGTCTGCTTCTCCTTTTCTCACTGGAGCAATCTCAAACTTGAAACTTATAGACCAAGTTTTAGAGGTCCTGGAATTGGCCAACCTTCCCACTGTCAGGTAGATAAGTGAACAGTCTGGTCTGTCAGGTGGAGAGATAAGGGCCGAGACCGTTACTCTGAAATCAGGCCAGGAAATGGCCTCTCAGCTTCTTCTCTAAATTGTAGCTCCCTTGGGAGAGCAGAGGAAGTCAAGGCATGCGTAGCCCATCTTGGCCTCTAGATGATTTGTGTCTGCTTCTTTGGACGTGTGGGCCAGTGTACACATAGCAAGTATGCACTATCCAATAGAACACCTCCAAACTTCATCAACCTCACTTCCAACAACCCACAAGCTCTTGGCAGAAAGATGCGGCAAAGCCAGGTCTACACACTCACTCTTTTCTCTTTGGGCAACAGTGAATGAACTGGAGCTTGGTTATTTAAATAAAATTAGTCATTGTGAAAATATTTGCATTTAATTTGATTTCAAAAAAGTTTGCATTAAAATATTACTTATGCTTAATATTGAATTTTTAGTGTCTTCTTAAATTTGTGGTCTGAGATGAGCGTTTCATTGCTTGATCATACTCCTAACCCTGTTAGTGCCAGAGGGCTGGTAGGAGGTAGACAGTGAGGGTGGGGAGGGCAATGTGGTCTCCATGTTGACCGGAAGACCTAACATGAGGGTTTTCATCCCAGTTCCTGCTTCTTTGCCAGTCCTGGAGTTGCGTTTAGAGGTTGGGATGAAATGATGTCGTCTAGGCCAGTGGTCTCTAAATGATCCGGAGGACATTAGGAAATGAAACATGTGGAAATGGTTTTGATGGCTGTCTACTCGGTGTGTGTGTGTGTGTGTGTGTGTGTGTGTGACATCAGACATCTTAAGGATACAGACAAATAGTGCTATTAAACTTTAGATAGTCCAAATCAGGAGCAGAAGGAGAGCGAACATGAGCAAGGAACTCAGGACCGCGAGGGGTGCACCCACACACTGAGACAATGGAGATGCTCTATCGGGAACTCACCAAGGCCAGCTGACCTGGGTCTGAAAAAGCCTGGGTTAAAACCGGTCTCACTGAACATAGCGGACAATGAGGACTACTGAGACATCAAGAACAGTGGCAATGGGTCTTTGTTCCTACTGCATGTAGTGGCTTTGTGGGAGCCTAGGCAGTTTGGATGCTCACCTTACGAGACCTGGATGGAGGAGGGTTTTCCTCGGACTTCCCAAGGGACGGAGAGCCCTGATTGCTCTTTGGGCTGAAGAGGGAGGGGGAACGGATTGGGGGAGGGGGAGGGAAAGGGGAGGCGGAGGTGGGGAAGAGACTGAAATATTTAATAAATAAATAAATAAAGAAAGAAAAAAAAAGAATATAGACACAGGCAAAGAATCATGACAAAAAAAAAACAAAAAAAAAACAAAAAAAAACTTTAGATAATGCAGAGGGCAGCCCCCAAAACTAATACATGGTCCTACATATTGAGAAGATAAATGTTGAGAAGCTTGATGCAGGTGCATAGTACAGAAGAAACCACATACATATTGAAGATGGAAACCACAAAGGTCCTGGTTTGTGAGGAGGAAAGGAGGGAGGGAAGAGTGGAAGGGATGGAGAGAGAGAGAGAGAATGTGAGAATATTTAGGACTTAGAAATCCCTCCTCCTTGATTTCTTATGAGTCTTAGTTAGGGTTTTTATTGTTATGATGGAACACGATCATCCAAAGCAACTCAGAGAGGAAACTGCACACTTCTATATAACTGTTCATCAGCAAAAGCAGTTAGGGCAGGAACTCAAACAGGATAGAAACCTGGAGGAAGAAGCTGATACAGAGGCCACGGAGGGTGTTGCTTCCTGGCTTTCTCATCATGGTTTGCTCAGCCTGCTTTCTTATAGAACCCAGGACCAGCAGCCCAGAGATGGCAGCACCCATAATAGGCTGGACCCGCTCCCATCAATCACTAAAAAAATGCTTGCCTGAAGCCTGATCTTATGAAGGCATTTGTCAGTTGAAGGTCCCTCCTCTCAGATGATGTTTTTGCCAAGTTGACTTAAAAAATGGTGAACTTTCCTTCTCTGAAGTCTATTGCTTACATCTGTGAAGCAGGGAACTCCTACAGACTCAGTGGAGATGGGTGAAGGCAGGCATCAGGGGTGTGCTGTCTATGAAGCACCTCGTGGGGGTGCTGAGGCTACCTCCTCTCTTCCTCCTTCCCTCCACAGTTCCTAGCTGCTCCTTGAGACCTGCAATCACTTCCTAGAATCCTCACTTTGGAAAGCTGCTTCTGAATTAAGGGGTATAATCCAGGCTGGGCACTAATTAATACTAATTACATCATGGTGTTATACATGCCTCTCAAATAAACTGGTGCAGACGGGCTTCTACTTAGGGCAGCAAGCCCCAGACAACAGGACTCTGCTATGTTAATAGAGAGCAGGGTCTGGGGTGAAAAAAACTGAATAAATTTTTATCAGTTCCATTATCCCCAAGCCTGGCCTGGAGCAATCACCCTGGCCCCTTTCAACTTCCCCAAAAACAGAGTATAAGGCTGGCTGTGCAGCAGTAGCCACACACAGCCACTGAGTGTGGAGCCATCCGGTGAGTGTTGTGCTGGGCCAGGATCAGGGAGGCAGCAGAAGGACATGACCAAGCAGACAGCTGGGGAGCCTGTTCTTAGGGTCACCACAACTGCCTTCATTGCCTCGTCTTTCCCCACATAAGTGAAGTCAGTTCTGACTCGGGAATGGTCTGTCCATGCAGGTCAGGAATCTGGGTAGAGTGTTGTCTTAGAGAATGGCCATGGAGATCTTAGCAGGGGTTTCTGCAGCTCAGTTGCCCATCCCGTCCACCTCGACTCCTGTTTCAGATTTTTCAGCTCAGGGAAGAAGAGGGAAAGGAGAAAGAGGAGCTCTCTACTCTCCCTTTAATCGGGCAATTAAATGATAAGTATCATGTCATGCACCAGAAGCCGTGTTTGACACAGACAGGACAGTTGTGAGGACAAAGGCAGAATTGCCTCGACTGCAAGATCAAGTAGACATGAAACAGCCCCTGATCCTGTCCCTTCTCCTGCTGGGGACAGTTTCTGCTTCTTATCTGGGTAAGTCCTTCCCTTTTATTCCCACTGATCATTCTCCCTTCCCCTCTCTCCCACCCTTTTGGTTGTTGTTGCTGTTGCCATAGGGCCAGGGTCACAGAGTGTTCTTTTATGTTGTTCACGCATCTCTGGTTAGCTATCTCCCAGACCCAGAACTGGTTCCTTCAGAAGGAAACAAACAAAACCAAAGCACCTATATTTTAAGATAAAGGGCCAGTGATCATTTCAGGCTTCTCACACAAGGTCTTCCCACCCATATACATACCTGTGGTGACCATCAGTCAGAGTTCAGGCTATTGTCCATCTATGAATCTGGTGCGAGACATCTCTTTTTGCCCAATCTAGAGGAAGTTCCTTTTTAGTGTGTGGCTCCAGATTAGGACTCAAAGCTAAAGTGGACAGTTAGAGCTGTCCGAGGTGCTGGAGGAAGAGGGACTCTGATGTGATGGCACGTTACCATCTTCTTCCTAGAGACCACTCGCCACCATCAGGAGAGCCCAAAGAGAGAGCCAGACCTGTGGCAGGATGCAGATGGTTCAAGGGATCAGGGAAGAGATTTGACTTTGACCCCAGAGACAATGTGGACAGAGGAAAAGGAGACTGAGGGTTCCAAACATCAAGACATCTTTGAGGATGAGGAGTCGGACTCAACATGTCCCAGAAAAGAGGACGTAGCTCATTTTCAGGGAACTCCTGGGTGCAAGAGCTGTCGCTATGTGCTGGTGAGGACTCCCAAGACTTTTGATAAAGCTCAGGTAAGTGATAAGAAGACATGGTTAAAGGTCAAGGGGAGGGAAAGGCACGGTATTAAAACTTGTTCTGTATTCACTTAGAAAGCTGCAGGATTGCCTGGTGGTCTTGTTAAGATATAGGAATTACAGCTCCATCTTCACAGTCTTTGAATCAGGAGGGGGGGTGTCTCTGGGAATAAAGATCATTTTGGTCTGAGGACTGCAACTTTAGAACCAATGATCTGCAGTAGAACACTTTGGTGAGGGAGATATTTGCATTTCATGGAAGAGGAGGTGGAAAATGTGTAAGAGAAAGATGTTGGGGGTGGGGATTGGGGTGAAGTGAAGCAGTTTCTTCTAGACAGGACCGAGATGTTGCATTTGTGAGCCCAGAACAGTTTCGATCGCCTGTGCAAGACAGGATCAAGCCAGTCAACATTCCATTGTGGGTGTGCAGGGGTCCACAAGCACCACCCCTAGGTGGCGAGTTATTGGCAATTGATGACTGCTAAGGCAGAGAAAGTCAGTTTTCGTTAGGGTATGGTCATTGGTAGGTTGACTATGGCCATGCATGTAGAGGTAGCCATTAATTAGTCTCAGTGGGTCGTATATTTACTAAAGAGAGGCTATGAGGTTGGAAAGAAGATGTTTGTGTGTGGTTCAGGAGGAGCTAGAGGAGGGAGTGGGGAAATGAATATGATCAAAACACATTATATGCATGTATGAGAGTCTCAGGGTAAATAGAATATTGTATTAATACCAGATAGAGCATTAAAAAAGATCTCCTATAATAGGGAAGAGTCAAAATGACAGACATACCCTTCTGTACCTCACTCAGATCTGCCGTGTGTGCGTGTCTAACTGTGTGTGTGCATGCACATGCATGCTAACTAGGGAGTCTCAAGATCTGACAACCGCGCCGGATGAATTTTAAAAGAGCAATCTTACCCCTAACGAAGAAAAGAAACCACTGTGCTAAAACAACACTCCCTCCCTTGATTGACAATTGGTTGTTTTGTGGGTGACTTTCTTTACCTTTCAGAGATCAGGCTCTTCCAAATAAAGATATATAGCTGCCCCTTAGTCTCCATGGGACGTCGGTCTTAGGACCCTCCAAATGGACACCAATGTCTATGTTCAAGGTGCTTACAGAGAAATGGCATGGTGTTTGCATATAATCCTTGCCCATTCTCCTGTATTTTAAACTTTTATGTGTGTTTATTTATTGTGTATTTGTGGGGGGTGCACAAACTATGACACATACATGTAGGTCAGAAGACTGTGTTCTCTTTCCTCCATGCGGGATCTGGTATCAAATTCATTTGCCACTCACCGAGCTCTCTCACTACCCCTCATGTGTTTTTTAAACCATCTCTAGATTATTTCTAATACTGTGGTATAAACACCATGAGAATAGATATTATACTTTATTATTTGGGGACTAATGTCAAAGGAAAGAGTATTGCTCAGTGTAAGCATAACTAAAAATATACCTTTTTCAGGGGCTGAGGAGGTGGCTCTGTGGGTAAAGTGAGCTTGTTCTGCAAGCATGAAGGCTTGAGTTCAAATATCCAGAGCCCATGGGAAAATCTGGATATGGCAGTGCATGCCTGCAACTTTAGCACTAGGGGGCAGAGCCAGGCAGATCCTAGGAGCTCACTGACCAGGCAGTCTATCCTGTATACTGCTTCAGAGAGAGTCCCTGCTCAAGACAGTAAGGCAGAAAGTGACAGAGGACACCCCACCTGATGTCCTACTCTGGCTTCCGCATGTGCAATCCACACTCGCATGCACATGCATGCAATACTCCCAGAGCCCCACATGCAAACATACATTTTCAATGTATGGTTGGTTGACTATGTGGGCAAGAAATCCACAGCTATGGAAGGCTGATTGTATGGTACCGGTGCTTTTTAATTGTAATGGAGGCCAGACGAAATTATGTTTTTGAATTATCATGTGGAACAGTCTGTAAGTGGTGGCTATAATTATATTAGGATTACTATTTCCTATAAGGATTTCCTGACCACTGGCAAAGGAGCAAAATATAGGATTGAGGGAAGCAAGTGGGTTCCTATGTTGAATCTATGAGTAGTTGTAGGGATCTTTCTTGGTGATTCAGGATCTTGAGGCAAAAGAGAGTGAATTCGCTATCCCATTTCTCCCCTCTGCAGTGCGTCTGCAGGAGATGCTACCGAGGTAACCTTGCTTCCATCCACAGCTACAGTTTCAACTTCCAAATTCAGTGCCTGGCCAGGAAGATCAACCAGTCTCACATCTGGATTGGAGGCATTCTCAAGGGCTGGGTAAGTTAGGGCCCAACTCAGTATAGAAAGCTTGGACTGTCTTGAGGGCTCATTCACTGACTCCACAGTTAAGGTGTCCTTTAAATGATAGGCAAAGGATGCTGGAGTTGCCTTGCACTGTCTTGGGAGAATTGATTACCCACACCTCTCACTAATTCTATTCAGCAACTTCAGGTTTGTGCTCAAAATTAACCATGGGAAATTTACACCAAGAAAATTGGCAATTGTTATCAATTGCTGTCACTGCGACAAAATGCTTGAGAGAATCAACTTAAAAGGAAGAAAGGCTTATCTTGACATAGTTTCAGAGGCTTCAGCTTACACTCACTTGAAAGTGTTGGATTGGACTTGACACACAGTATGTCATGGTGGGAGTGTGTGGCAGAGAGGACTACTTACTTCTGGTGACAGGGACATAAAGAAGAAGGAAAGGATTCAGCATCATCACTTGGTAGCTTGCTAGAGATGTAGAATAATAGGCCCCATGCCTGATCTCCGGAATCTGAGTCTGCATGTCAATCAGATCTGTACAGTTGGGGAAACCTGCCCTGTATGGTGTCTGGGAGCAATGGTTATTTTTCCATTGCATCCCATGCAAACGCTGAGAGGTGGGTGACGAGAGCATTCGGCTTCTTTCCAGGCAGGCAATGAAGGGGGTCAGCAGTGGCTTGGATCTTCCTGCCTTCTTCGGTTCTCTGATCCACTTTCTCTCTTTTCTAGTTCTTCTGGAAGAAGTTTCGGTGGACTGATGGGAGCTGTTGGGATTTTGGAAACTGGGCCCCAGGGCAGCCTGGGAATGGGGGGGGACACTGTGTGACTCTGTACACCACAGGTGAGAGGAACAGGCTCCAGACAAGGAGATGCATTGATAGAGTAGAATTTTAGCTGTTGTTGCTTTGAGCTACCTGGACATAACTCTTCAAACCTACTGACTACGTGGAGAACTCAGACTTGGTCTGTGGGGAGAACTGAGGTACACAGACTTCTCAGGGCAAGACCAGATGATGGGATAGCGGGGTAGCTTGTGGAGGTTTCTGAGAACCCTGTACTGTCTCTGATTCCCCGTGGACAAACTGGAATGACTTAAGTGCGGCAGATGTGAATATAAGGAGTGGATGTAGGCACTGGTGATGGCTGAGACAAAAAGCAAGCTTCTGATTGCAGATGTGGGGGACACCACTTTAGTGCAGTGGCTGAATGCATGCTAGAGCAAGAGGGATGTGATTCACTGTGTTCTCTGCTGCAGGGGGCCTTTGGCAAAGAGCTTCCTGCAAGACTCGCCTGCCTTTCGTCTGTTTCTTCTAAGCTGGAGGAAGACCCTACCTCGGAACCTCCTGTCTCCACAGCCCTGGCTGCTGGTGTCCCAGCCTCTGGCATTCAGTTCTGTCTCCTGCCTCTCCTGGTCATAAAGTCAGTTTCCCCCTGCATTCTCTAAGTCTTGTTTTTTTTTTTTTTTTCTCTTCCTGGAACTCACTTTGTAGACTTAGCTGGCCTCAAACTCACAGAGATCTGCCTGCCTCTGCTAGGATTAAAGGCATGCGCCACCACTCACAACAAGTCTTGTTTCCTCATTGCCCTTTCTGGGAGACTCCTGCTTGTTGGAAAAACCCTGGAAGTGCAAGATGTGGGGCTAGGCAGCCTGCTGCAGGTGTGTGTGTGTGGGGGGGGGTCAGAGACAGAGCTTGGGGCTTGGGGTGGCCGCACCGAGTCACCCGGAAGCTGAGCAATGTTCTCTGCAGTTCTTCACTGGGCTCTGATTCACCTTTCTACCCTGAGAGGGGAGCAAAGATCTCTCTGGTGGGAGGCTGGTCCTGCCTTTGCTTGGTCTCATTATGAGGGGTAGTTGAGTGGCTTTCCACAATGGAAGAGATGGGGCTTTCTCAAGATCTGGTATGCAATAATGAGATTGGATGTGGGGGACACACCCTGGGGGTATGGGATAAAACCCTCTGTTGGAGAAAGAGGTCCGTTCCTCTAGTGTGGTGTTTTCTGTTATCTAGCAACCGCTTCCATTACTCATTCTCCCAGGCCCCTTTGGCTGTCCCGAGAGATGCAGCCCTCTCCTTCATCACCCACCCTTTCTGTAGAGAGGCCATGATTCTGAAGGGATCTGTCCTCCACTCGGAAGCCAAAGGCAGGAGACTGGCAGCAGCGCAGACGCCACCCTTAGGTCTATTTTCTTAGGCCTCAGAAATCCTTCACTTCCTGTTCTCAAACCTGGCATAACAGAGGGAATATCATTGTTGCCTTTAGCTTTAGGCCAGTGAGGACCCTGGGCTAGCAAGGATTTTGCAGAAAGGGTTTAGAGTTGACAGAACAGGAAGTTCAGAGTTGAGACTGGGTATTGAAGGATATAGAGAGAACCTCAAATTGCGTGTGTGCTTATGCACAATTTTTGTACATGTGCCTGTAAAGGTGCACACTTGTATTTTTGTGTATGCATAGATGTGCATATCTGTGTGTGAGCCTACACAGGTGCGTGTGAGTGTGTGAATGTATGTGTTTGTACTAGTGTGTTATGTGCACGCTTTTGCACCTCTCTGCGTATTTATGAAAACTTGTCTATGGATGTGTTTGCCTGTGTAACTTTATGCCTGTATGTACCTGAGTCTCTGCACATACACATGCATATTTACCTGTGTCTTTAGTCATAGGTATGTAGGGGTGTCAGTGTTTGACTGTGTACAGGTTTATGTTTGTATATGCATCTGATGCAAAATGGCTTGAGGCACAAAAATACTAGTATCCCACAAATTCTATCTCTAAGTTTACTGGATTTGAGGGAACAGAACAGGGATGGGCACGGTCCCAGACAATGGGTTGTGGAGAAACAGTAGAGATAAGCCCTTTGAACATGGAGGTCTCTGACCATGGATGGATAAGCTCTGGTACCAAAACACCTCACTGATGCCCAGGGTCTGTCTCGGTAGAGAGACTGTTGCCTCAGCTCCTAATTACAGCATAGAATCCTGTCAAGAGGTGGGGCTGCTTAGGAGTGGGGTGCCATGTAGGCCCCCCCCATTGAACACTGCAGTAAGTAGACAACTCGATGCTTCTTAAGAGAAAGTGGAATTGCTGCAGGTGGTAAGGAGAAGCGCACCAGGGAAGACATTTCAGGGGCACACCAAACTCCCCTCCTTCCCTGACAGAGAACGGTGTCTGACTGAGGAGTCCAACACCCTGATGACCAGAGCCATAGGCACTGGTGTGTGTGTGTGGGGGGGGGGGGGCAGACAAGCTCCTTCTCTACTAAAGCCTCCCTAGGACATGCCCAGCTAGTCAGATGCTCCTCAATTCTCTAGCGCTGTTTCAGGGGATCACAGTCTGCCCTTGTGTAGAAATTGAACAATTGTGCAAAGCCTTCCACTCTTGCTTAGCTCTTGACTAAAAGGTGAATAATCTTGAGAGAAGGCAGTCCCTAGAACCCTATCAATTACCATCTCCGGGAGGCTGACTGGAAACTCGCTGAGAACAAGGTGTGAGGAGGAACACAGAAGGGGAGGGTATTGGATGTCAGGGTGTGGTAGGCATCTGGGGGAGGGGAGGGAAGTGACAGCTGTGTCCATGAGACTCGAGAGGACATCCTCGGTATTCCTTCAGTAAGTCGGCTCTGTAACTTGTTCCTGAGCCTGGCCAGTGTGGGTCTAGGTACCGGATGATTCTTATAGTTCCCCAGGTCTCCGTTTTCCTGCCACGGGGAGTCTGTGTTTCTCACCCTGCCTAGCTACTCCACAGAGATTTCTGTTGGGACTAATTGAGTCCTGGCTTTCAGCTGCTCTTCCCTGTCTAGAGCCTTCTAATTGAAGTTACTAGAAGCTGTGCCTAGCCTAGAGGATCAGAGGATAGGATTTTCACCTGTTGGCCATTGACTGCAGGGTATTTAAGCCTCCATGGTGCTGTTAAAGGAGGGTGTTTGGTACCAGTGTTTGAAGAGCTGTGTGTTGGTCTGTCTCTGCGTGTGTGTTTTCTCAACCTCCAGCCCCTTGCCCAAAGCTCGCCAAGTGGGTTCTGGCGCATAGAGTGCAGACGGGTTGGGGGGTGGGAGCTTGGTACGCGGCAATTTCACTAGTCACCTCAAGAGGATTTGGGGGCTGGAGAGATGGCTCAGCGGTTAAGAACATTGCCTGCTCTTCCAAAGGTCCTGAGTTCAATTCCCAGCAACTACATGATGGCTCACAACCATCTGTATTGAGGTCTGGTGCCCTCTTCTGGCCTGCAGGCATACACGCAGACAGAATATTGTATACATAATAAATAAATAAATACGTGCAGTAGGATCAAAAACTCATTGCCATTGTTCTCTGGCTTTGTGGGAGCCTAGGCAGTTTGGATGCTCACCTTACTAGACCTGGATGGAGGTGGGTGGTCCTTGGACTTCCCACAGGGCAGGGAACCCTGATTGCTCTTTGGGCTGACGAGGGAGGGGGACTTGATTGGGGGAAGGGGAGGGAAATGGGAGGCGGTGGCGGGGAAGAGACAGAAATCTTTAATAAATAAATAAATAAAAATAAATGTTTAAAAATGTTAAAAAAAAGGATTTTGCTTAGCCCAAGTGACACATACAGATAAAAGATGAGCCAGCAAATTTCCTGACATCCCCCCAAAAGAGAGACCACAGAAGCCAGCATCTCACAGCCCAGCAGACAGACCACGGAAGCCAGCATCTCACATCCCAGCAGCACACATCTGGGTTCAGGTCAGCTCCACTTCCATTCCTTCATCTAACTCAGCCTTGGTTTATTTTGTAAAATGAAGATTGGATTAGACAACGCCTGCTGTACATCTAGCCCACAGCCTTGCCAGTGGTGAGCCACCCCACCACCGAATGGCAGCTTGTATGTTGAGCACTGTGGCCTCGAGAGTGAACACAGCTTCCAGCTCTAGTTTTCAGGACTGTCTATTTGTTTTTCTACCAAACAAAAAGAATAACAAACCCCAGGACCCTCAGCAGGTGTGGCCAGGGCCCGTGTGATGACGTTGGTGACGGCGCTGAGGAAACACAGGGTATCAGGTACCAGCTGGCTGCTGTGATTTCTACTATTAGCCTACAGCTAGCACACAACAGCGGACTTGATTCAGACAAATGGAACAGAGAGAGAATGGGGCTTTCCACCTACTGGAAGGTCCAGAAGAGGCGCAGGCACCTGGGGGGCGGTTATCCTAGCTTTGGGTACAGTTCCCTTCCAGGACACAGCGTCTCCATCTCCTCCTGTGAACTCAGTCTCAGCTCACAGGGGGCCTGTGTGCCTCCTTATTGAAGGATGTGCTCTGTCCCTAACTGATGTCTCTGCTGGACATGAAGCCTGGCCAGGTCTCTGGATGCTGTGCTGGGGAGACAGTACCCCATCACCCATAATGATGGGGGCTGTGAGCAATCAGAGTGAGGGAAGGGTTGATGAACCTGGTGGAGGACTCTCACCCCATCTCCGCCTGGGGTGGGGATCATTGGGGTTGAGCCTGCCCAGGCATGCCTGTAGAAACCTCCCCACTACCCTTCCCCACAGCTCTCTGTACTTTCTGGTGAGGGGCCAGCCCTCTGTCTACATGTATGCTTATCTCTGCTAAGACCTCACCATCATGCCCATGTTCCCAGAGGAGACTGGCCCTGACACTAAGGAAACTTATACCTCAGGTTCACGCACTAGCTGAACCTCTCTGATATCTAATTCTGTATTTCCCCAGCTGGGTGATGGCACTTGCCTGTAAATCCCAAAACTGGGGAAAGGTTGAAGGAGGAGGACTGTAAAACTGAGGCCGTTCAGGGACACACAGCAAAGTCTTTTCATAAAAAAACCAACCAACCAACCAACCAACCAAAAAACCCAAATCAAAACATAAAAGCCTCTTGAGGGGCTTCTTTCCCAAACCTTGATCTGTCCTTTAGCCTTGCCCTGTGCAATTTAGAACTTCCTTCCATCTCCCCTTTTCTTTAAAAGCCCAGAAAGGACATCTAAGCCAATGAAGACAAGATGGACCCGACTTCTGCTCAATAGCACCCTTCTGTGAGCACAGGACACCCGAGCTCTTTATTGGCCCCTACGATGACACAAGGCAAGCCCTTTTCTACTTCTGGCCTCAGTGTTGATGGTCTGTATGCAAGAGGACTGGACACGGTGGTTCCGGAGGCCCCGTTAGCTCCTAACCGAGCACCGGTTAGGATCACGTGGAACAGGGCTGGCTGACCTGGCTGGAAGCTCAGAAGAGATTGCATTTCACTATGCCTCCCCACTTATTTTCTGAGACAGTTTTAGGGGTCCCAGGCTGACCTCAAACTTACTCGCAGCCACACATGAACCTTCCATCCTCTCTCCATCTCCTGAGTGCTAGGATTACGAGCGCACCACCATACGGTGTGTATAGTGCTGGACGTGGGTTCTAGGGCTTTCTTCACACATCCTAGACAAACACTACCTACACAGCTACATCCTGAGCCCCTACCTGAGGCTTTTCCAACAATGCTTTAGACAACGACAGCTGATGTACTGGGGCCTGGCGCTAGGTTCCGCAACCACTTCTCAGCTGTCGTGTGTGTGTGTGTGTGTGTGTGTGTGTGTGTGTTCTATCTGGATTCTGGAACGAGGGTCCAGATGTGTGAGGGCTTAACTGGAGAAGGAAGGCCTGTTCCTCAGCTCGGGCTTGAGATACGCAGCAAGGCAAGGAAAATTTCACTGGCAGTCACACCTCCTATTTCCTTCTGAAGCTGGACTTGGCCCAGTCAGAAGTGAGAGTTTATACTCCATCTCACTGGGCTCCCCTAAACTTGGGCCTGCATTCCTGAGAAAGCTCCCTGGTGACCTGGCCATGGGAAAGGCAGGGAAGGGCAACTGACCCAAAGGGCAGATAACCAGGGAGCTGATTCTCCCCCTAAGGCTATGGGCAAAGGACCTGGGTCAAACCCTCACTTTCTGGCCGCATGGCCTGGGGCAAATGACTCCATCTCCCTGACCCCTTGCTTCTCTTCAAAAACAAAGAATGGAAACACATCCTATAGGATTATTTTAGGACTCAATGAGATAACGTGTATGGAAACACCTGGTACTTGTAGGCCCCTATGGGCGTAACTATAGCAACCATTTTCTCTATCCTTTAGAAAGGGATGGATTCTGCTGTCCCAGGACCCTGGGAAGCAGATGGGAGGCATGCAAGGGGTAAACATGAGACTCAGGTCTTCGCAGGAAGCACTACCTGTCTGCTGAACGGGGGCCTGGGTACCTGGCTGTGGTCTTTGGGGTGAGCAGCAGAAATGAGAGCCTGTCTCCTTCCCCCATCCCACCCCTTTCTGCCCAGAAAGAGTGGCATGTTGGAGGTTCTGCAGCCTACGGATGAGTGGGACCCTGGGAAGAGGCCCTAGTGGCCGATGGAGTAAGCCCCCGAGTCTGTGGACTGCTTTTCCACAGTGGCCTGGTCACCGGGGAACACTGGGTTGGCAGAGGCGGTGCCCTTCAGTGTTGTCTCGTTCACCTGCAAACACAAGAGTTGGCAGTGTCACACCTGACGTCGGGCAGGATCTTCCAAGGGGACCCATTTGACAGAATCAGAAGCCGGGGTGGGGTGAGGTTGCCTGGCCCAACCCTCTCTTGGACCCCTGCATACTAATGGCCCACTGAACTTCCGCCATTGAGAGCCCGGGGTCCTTCGATTTTCGGTCTCTTCCCCGACTCACCTCCTCAAACTTCCTGGCTTTGTAGTGATCTGCCCCTTTGAGGAAATTGAGCAGGATGATGTCACAGAGGACAGTGCCCTGGAGAAAGAGAGAGGCAGTACAGGCTCGAGCAGCAGCTGGGAGACTGGCAGGGCTCGAATGGCTCCTGTGCGGCAGCTCTTGGTTAGGACGATCTAGCTACTGAGAAATACCCTTGGATCGCAAGCACAAAGGGCGTGAAGGAAGAAACAGGGAGCTAGGGGAGGAGTCCTTGGGATGGGCCTTTGTCCCCCCATTTCCTGGTGACTCTGTTCCTCACTAAGGCATCCCAAAACTGTGGAAACACGGAGTCTCTCCCTCCCTTCATAGTGAGAAGCATGAATTTTTTTTAAAAAAAGATTATTATGTATACAGTGTTCTGCCTGCATGTATGCCTGTAGGCCCGAAGAAGGCACCAGATCTCATATTACAGATAGTTGTGAGCCACCGTGTGGTTGATGGGAATTTTTGATAAGACAGAACCACCTGAAAACAGGAAGGCAATCTGGAGCCCACGAGCCATGGGAGGTAATGATGGGAGATGTCCAAATCAGAGCTGCTTAGCAGCAGGTGTTGGAGGCCAGAAGGAGGGCTTAGCTGAGCTGTCTGATAGCCCCGTGCCTCGCTTGGCCTGACTCTGGCTGCCTGGGAAGACTGAACTTACCACTCCCACGGAGGTGAAGGCAGCCACAGAGCTGATGATGGTAGGGATGATATTGAACTTGCCAGCCTGTACAGATAAAGAGCAAGGCCTGAAGACAGAGGGACCAGCAAGGAGGGGTGAAGGCTGAGGTTCAACCTGGGCTCCTGTGAGAGAGGCCGTGGAGCTGGAAGGGTTTGTGGAGGGTCAGACAGTTCTGCTCTGCATAGGATAGGGAACTGACAGGGGATATGGCCAGTTGGCCCGTGGAAGGCCACTGTCTCGAGAGCCTCTTCAAGGCCCCAGTGCAGGCATGGGAAACCTCCCCTGGTCCCCTCCTCCGCTGGGTCCCAGGACTCACGTTCCCGTACACCAGCACGTCGAAGCGGATGCCGAAAGCTTTCAGGAGGGTGCGGTACTCACTGCCGTTCTCCATCTTGTAGTACTTGGCAAACCTGGAGGCCGGGGGTGAAAATGGGTCTGCCTGTGAGCTCTCCTGCCTGAACTCTCAGGGTTCTTTAGAGCTCGACAGCCAGTATCAAGCAGCTGATGGTTGGTAAGATGCCTGCCATAGTTCTTCCTGCACTCATGTGGGGACTCCAACGGCAGACTCTGGGGTCGAACCTAGAACCTACAGAATCAGCATCTTTGTTGGTGAGAACTAAGAATCTCCTTTTAAAATAATCTTCCTACAAGGTGTGTGTGTGTGTGTGTGTGTGTGATGTGGAAGTGATTTCTTAATAATAAAGAAACTGCCTCGGCCCTCATAGGACAGAAAATTAGGTAGGCGGAGTAGACAGAAGAGAATGCTGGGAAAAAGAAGCTTAGTGAAGGAGTCGCCATGATTCTCCTGCTCCAGACAGATGCAGGTTAAGATCCTCCCTGGTAAGCCAGCTCGTGGGCTACACAAAATATTAGAAATGGGTTAGAACAATATGTAAGAGCTAACCAATAAGAAACTGGAACTAGCCGGGCCAGGCAGTATTTGAAAGAATACAGTTTCGTGTAATTATTTCGGGGCATAACCTAACCATGAGGGCGGCCGGGTGCCGGGACGCAGCCCTACCGCCGCACCTATTTCAACATGTGTGTATCCCTATGAATGTGAATGCAATGGTCTATGCATGTGTGTAGCTTGAGGTCAACATCAGGTGTCTTCTCTGATTGCCTTCTACCTTATCTTTGAGACTTTCTCAGTAAACCTGGGGCTCTCCAGTTGGCTAGACAGGCTAGTTAATGAGACCTCTCTGGTTGGCTAGACGGGCTAGTTAATGAGACATCTCTCTGGTTGGCTAGACGGGCTAGTTAGTGAGATCCTGGAAAGCCCCATCTCCATCTTTGGTTGGCTAGATGGTCTAGTTAGTGAGACCTTGGAAAGCCCCATCTCCATCTCTCCAACACTGGGACTATGCACGTGTGAGTGCTGGGGATGGAACCCAGGCTCTTAGGTTTGAGCAGCAGGTACTCTACCCACTGAACCACCTCTGAAAACCTCTCTCCCCATGAGTTCTATGTTTATGAAAGCTTGAACTACAGCTGACCACAACTGGCCCCAGGCTTCTTTAGTTCTATTTGCTTGGGTATCTCAGGGCCCAACTTTAACCTACCTGGGCTCAAAGCCTGACTCATATAACTGTGGACCAGTCATTTAATCTGTCTGAGACCCAGTGGCTGCATCTTGAGGGGCAGCAATAGAACAGTTCTGCTCTATAGAATTGCAATGAGAATTGAAAACACATGGCCAAGTTCTAGAACATCCCATGGCCCATGAAACATATACTAGTGTTGGCCCTGGTTATTTGCAGAAGAAATATATTTACATGGGAACTGAGAAAAGTATTTCCTGACGCCTCACCTCATTCTACCCTTGCCTCCATCCCATGGCAGAAGGAAGTGAATTTCATATTTTCCGAGGCTCTGTGAGGTTGAATGACTCACCTAGGATTTCCTACTGGAAACTCAACGCTAGATCTGCCCAAGTCCTTTGCTTTGTCTTTTGCTCCTCAGCTCTGGCTGTTGGGCAAGCTGGGGGCTTATAGGAGCGATCGCATTCCATTCTTCCCACTGACTCAGCCGGTGCCCACACAGAAGGGTGGTGTTCACACCTCGATTGGCAGATGCCTATGACAGGGGAGCGACTTGCCTGTGGTCTGGCAGCTTGTAAGTGCTGGATGTGGGGTTGGAATTGCACTGACCGTTTAGACTCTAAATCAAGGGCACTTCTCCTGATATGGCTCTGCCTACCACAGGCCAGGCTCTAACACCAGCAGAGTGTAATCTCCCTGGGCAAAACCCCACTGCTGTGAAGAGGGTTCCTGATGTCAGAACTCAGTGAAGTGATGGAAATGAAAGGGCCCAGAAAGTTCTAGGTGTGAAGCTGAAGCTGTGCTCGCTCAGTGCTGGCTTCTTCCTCTGAATGAAATGATTGAGGCAGGAGAAGGAAGCGTCAGCCTGAGTGGATCGGAGCTGGAGGACCACGGGTGTGGGAGGAAGGCGTGGTGAAATGCTGGCCGCTGCTTTGGCTGCCTTTGGGGAACTCCGGACTCAGGCAGAAATGAGTCTGGATTCTACAGTCATCCCCTGTGATGTTCCTAGCCCTCAGGGTGACAGCTTCAAGTCTATAAAGATGGGGTGCTCCTGTCCTGTCAAAGCTCTGCTAGCAGTAGCAGGTGAGTACTCGCTGAGACCGACTCTGAGCACTACTGAAATCCCGCAGCAGATATTCTGATGGCTGGACACCATCTTTCTCTGCCCAGGGAGCCTATCTCTTGCTGCTTTTCCCAAGCAGTCTGCTCAACCTTTAGGTGGGTTCATCCAAAGGAAGAACCCACAGGAGAGCAGAAAGAATGGGGTGTTTAGTCTGCTTAGCCTTCAGCAGTGGCTTAGCTCCCACACAGGCCGAGGGCTGACAGAGCAGCGTCAGTTTTTCTCCCTTGGCCTGCCCATGCTAGCCCTGGGACAACAGCTTCCACAGCTGACAGTCTTGGTCCTTCTCCATCTAGGTTGGCTCCTCTTGGCTCGTGGGTACCCTTGTGCATTGTTTCTTCATGGAATCACACCTTCTGAGGCCACCCATGTCCCCTTGAGATGCCTACTCTAACTGTCCCCACTCTGCAGACAGGGAAGCTCAGGCCAGGGGCTTTTGTTACCAGTACAGGAAAGTTCAGGCAGCAGGCTTCTGCCCCCACCCGTGCTTGGGCAAGACGAGTGCTGAACCCGCCACCAAGTAAGGCTGAGAACCATTCAGCGGAAGCATTCTCGGGGGTGCCTGATGTGAGGTGTTCCCCGTGGGTTCTGCAGTTGAAGGGACAGAGTGAGGGAAGATGGGAGAGTTCTCCAGAGACTGAGCAGGAAGGAAGGAAGGCTTGGAGGTCAAGAAAATGTGTGGGGAATGAGACCATCTTTAACTCCGGTCAGTAATGTCTGGGTAGCAGTGGAGAGCTCTATTCAGGTCAAAGCAGAGCAAAGTCAATCCAGCAGCAGCAGGGGGATGATGGAATGGACTGCAGAAAGGGAAACAGTTCTATAGCTATGGTGAGACCCAAGAGCCTAGATCTTCAAGGAGACCTCCAGGGATATCTCAAAAAAGTGTTTGAAATGAACAGAAGATTTCAGATACCCATGGCTTTCAGGCTGCCTTGAGGGTATATAGATCAGATAGACCATGCTGTATAGATCAGACAGACCATGGTGTGTAGATTAGACAGACCACGGTATGTAGATCAGAGAGACCACGGCCATCTCAGCACCCACTATTTATAAAGCCCCAGAAATACATGCAGAACAGCTCGGCTAACTCATGAATAATGCATGGCTGTTGACCCATTTTACAGATGAGGAAGATGAACAGGTAACTTGCTTGAGTCAGGATCCTGATGACTTCTGAGTCTATGACTTGGAATCTCTGAGCCATCTGTCTTCAGCTGGCTGTTAAGGAAGCAGGGCACCCTGGTGCAAAGTCCTAGAGTTCTTCTAAATTCTATATTCTCACATCACTGGAGGGTTCAAGATCCTTGTCACCGAGATGTACTCCTAGCAACTGGACAGGGGGAGTGGGGATGAATCACGGGTGTTTGGGGAGGGCAAGGGTCAGGCCTGCGGTCCTACAGCCTTCGTGTGCAGCCCAAGGCTGCGTCCACGACAAGAGCTCTGACATGGACTCAGAGAACAAGAAGTTGGCAGCCTGGGCTCCACTGGTTAAATTTATCCTGGGAAAAAATGTGAAGGGAACAGGGAGAAAAATCAGAGCGGACTTGGTTTTCTTCCAGCACCTGCCTTCCAAGAGGCAATAAGCGTGGTAAGATCACTATCTCACCAGCCACCCAACCTCAAGGAGGCTTCCTGCTGGGAGGGAGGAATTGCAGAGCCCAGGGAGGAGGGTCTAGGCAGTAAACAGGGCCAGACTCTGCTCTAGGGGAGCCAACGGAGATCATAGAAGCTGATGGCGGGGGATGGCTCAGGCCACAGGGGCTTGGAGCATGTTCTCTCGTGAGGCATGCCTGGACCGTATTTCCCAGTCCCTCGTACCTAGCTGGTGCTCCATCACTGACTATTCTAACGGAATGAGGATGGATGTGAGGCTCGTTACCGTCGGCTACGATGGTTCAGTGCAGTGTACCTCCTGTGTTCTCCTTTTCCCCCATCTAATGACTAATGGTGAAGGAACCAGGGGAGATTGATGAGGCAATCCTGGAGGAGACTGAGTTGAGATGGCAGCAGGCTAGGGCCCAGAATAGCTGCACAAAGGCCTCCAATATCACTGGCCCACAATGTTAAGCAGCTGATGAGATGAGAGGACTGTTTGTTACGGCAGTTATCAGCACTTACTCTGACTGTTACATCCCTCCCCACTAGCTTTATCACTGAGAAGACTGAGGCACAGTGAGAAGTGCTTTTCCAAAGGACAAAGAATAAGTTAGAGCTAACAAGGACTGCACCAAATGGGTCATTCTGAGGGATAAGCCCTCTAAGAAGGTCCGAGATCTGAGGATGCTACTTGGCTCTTCTTAAATCAGCATTTTGTCCCTGCGTAAGTCACTCAATCTCTCTGAGACTTTACCTTTACTGAAAGGGGGCGGGTTGTGGAGAGAATCAATTAAGAGAGTAGAGTGTCTTATCCTAAGGCCAAGATAAAGAGATGGGTCAGTGGTTAAGAGCATTGCCTGCTCTTCCAAAGGTCCTGAGTTCAATTCCCGGCAACCACATGGTGGCTCACAACCATCTGTAATGAGGTCTGGTGTCCTCTTCTGGCCTGCAGACATACACACAGACAGAATATTGTATACATAACAAATAAATAAATAATTTTAAAAAAAGAATAGCATTGTTATTTGCCTTAACTCTTCTTGCCCCTAATATAGTAATATTACAATTTTAACTGTAATATAATAATATACATTTACAATATGCTATATAATAATTATAATATAGTAATATTAGTAACATATACTAAATT